AGCGAGAAGAAGCTGCTCGTGAAATCCGTGCTATATGCATTATTTAATGTCATTGCTAAGCAGATACTCAATAGCACTTAGATTCGTTGAAGCAGAAAAGGGTAATTAATATTAATTAATGATTTTTGTTAAATAAAACCCCCTTTCACTCGCATCACAATTACGGCAATTCCTGCGTCTACCACGTTAACTTGAGCCGAGAAGTATTATAAACCGGTGAAAAATTGTATGTACCTGTTGGCAAATCGTAAAAATAAATCTACGCCTAAATGAATTGAATATAGCGATCATCACCACATCATTACTTTTTCCTTTTACAGATTTAGACTCTTCGATAGTAAAAATTAATAAAAATCGTGTAGTGGCGGGGTAAGAATTTCATCCCGTGGGTGTCGCGAGAGGCGACAGCGAGAAACAGATCAGTAGATGGACAGCAGCGTCTTCCTAATAATGGCTAAAAATAAAAAAAATGCGTTTGCGAACTCGCTTGCCAAGCGTGGCAACTATTACGAATAATAAAAATTAAATTTCACAATCGATATTTTGAAAGGAAACATAAGACTTAATATTATGTTAAAAATGCGATTTTCGTCTTATTTTAAGAATTCTTTTTGGAAATAATAATTAACATTTTGAAGTACATTATCATACCAATTTCCTATCAATATACTCGTAATTAGCGTTCGGAATGTAGCACAAAAGATAAATATAAGGTCGAGGAAAAAGTTTCTTTGTATTTTATATACAAATTTAAGGCATTTTTTTTTCAAAGTTTTATTACATTTAATTATAATATATCTGTGCCATATTGTTCGATAACTTGTTGCCATTTTGTAGATAGTGACATAATCCCGTTGCTGTATAAATCTTGGGAATTTTGCTCAAAAAATGCGACAAATAGTTTTGACAGTCCTCTCTTGATGTTAACTTAATACTACCCAAAAAATTCTGAAGACACCGAAATAGGTAAAGATTTGAAGGCGCAAGGTCAGGACTATATGGTGGATGCATTTATATCACCATTGATCAATCTTTTCAAAAATGGTTCGATTTCATTACCTACATCTCAATAGAGAATCGCAACTGAGTATACGGTTCATTAGCTTTCTTTCAGTGAGCTCGTGTGGTACGCAAATATCGAGCTTTTTAAAATGGGTCAAAAGTCAAAACTGTTTTGTGGTCAATCCTCAATTCCTCAGCTATATCGTAACTACTAATAGGCCGATCAAAATGGCGTCGACTTTATACGTATGAGGACGACCAGAGGGTGACCAGATAAACGCTTGAACTAACTTTGTGCTACTCTTTCTAACATTATATTAGATGTAAGAAATTTTCTATTCGCGGCTTTTTTATTTTCCCTTTTTTGTAATAAAAGTTCAGAATGTATCGAATTTCTTCGTTAGATTTTGGCGCACAGAAATACAAATGAAAATTGGCGGGAAAGTATTTGTTACTTTTTATTTTTATTTTTCTTAATGTCCTGTATGTATTGATATTAAAACCAGCCAGATACAAACAGTAAAACCGGAGAGATTTTTCTTCAATTTTATACAATAAAATACGAAGTAACTTTTTCCCCGACCTATTATTTACATTATAATATAATAATTATAGAAATTCCAAAGTATTTCATTAAAATAAGGAGTTCAATAAACTGAACTGACTAAAGTCAGTTTTTTTATTGGGAACATAATACGACGGTTTATTATAATACAATTGTAATTACATCTCATCTTCGATGCTTTCCCTTTCTTGTTTAAATTCACTTGACCACTTTGACGTTGAAGAGGCAGAGTCTTAGTAAACGGCCACCATTTCTTCATGGATGTTTTTTGAGATCACCACACGGTGTTAGATTTTTTCAGCATTATCAAATCAGTCATTCCCGTCGTCTATGACTGAAGGTTACATAAAAAGTAATCAATTTATATCCTCAGGTAGTGGTCGTTAGCTAATGATTTTTTTGATTACCCACATTATTAGCAAATTACAATAATACCGTGAATACATTGAAAGCTCCTCGTAGAATAGACAGTAATATGATTATATATATTTTTATAGGATAAGGACAAATGAGCACACAGTCCACCTGATGGTAAGTGAATGCGGTGGTCCATAGACATCTAAATTTATCCTTGATTAAGAATAAAAATGCAGATGCGTTGTCACCCCCAAGGACTAAGATGGAATGCCTTGTTTCCAGTAAAAAGGGTCTCTGGTTCTCTACGCTCATCATATGAAACACAGCAGCATTAAGCTGCTATTACGCTGGTTATCTGTGAGAGCCGGATCCAACTCTGGTCGAGCTGACCCATTCGTACTACACCCTTAATATAGCTGCAGAGTGGTTCTACCAAGTGTAAGGATTTAATATTTACCTCTACAAAACACTACACTAAAAGTACCTACGCTCCCTATCCGTTCTTTGATTTTTGAGCGATCCGTGTACAGATTTTATCTAGTCTAGTCTATTAAAGTCTACTACTAAACATAATCCTCCCCCATAGATTGCCTCATAGGGGGGATATTAGCCATAGTTAACACGCTTGGCAAGTGGGTTGGCAACCGCAGTTTTTTTTAATTTTAGTCGTTATTAGGAAAACGCTGCTGTCTATCTCCTGATTTGTTTCCCTCTGTCGCCTCTTAAGACACCCACGGGATGATATGGAGTAGTCGATATTCTTACACCGTCACTACATGTATACACTTCAATTTTATTTATATTATATTATAGTTACAGTTAAAGATTTAGATGTATGTATAGATATAGGACATAGATATGATTTAGACATAAATTAATTAACATGTAGATGAAGATATAGATAAGAATAATGATAAAGAAAAAGGATTTAGATCTAGATATAGATATATATATGTAGATAAGTACAACGGTATAGATACAGCTATAGATACATAATTGAAAACAAAATTAAGCTTTTAATAAAAAATAAAAACCGTTTCCAGTACCTAAAATAATAAAATATTTTCCACATAGTAGATCGTGAAATTAGTGCTAAGTCATAATGTATCGAAGAATTTTCCAAGAATTTCACAAGCTACCTATTATGTGCAATTTATTTTACACTTTTTAGGTTATCATGTCGATTTTTGCTGTTTATTAAAAGTTTGTTTATTTACCATTTTGAGTGGTCAGAGCGGTTACTTCCATTCAAATCACCATGCGCTATTTTTCACCCCAGTTATTGACACCCTAGAGTTTAGAGAAATCGGTATATGGTTACCATAATACCCATAATAAATCAATTTACACTGCTGTCTGTCGTTAAAAAGTTCTGTGTGCCGACGAAGTCCAAGTCCAGTCCAGTTCAGCACCTCCTTAACCTACCTTTAACTACCTATTTACTTTGTACGACCTTGTTTTAGGATATTTATCCAACCATATGTTGGTATAGGTTCAACACCAATAAAATTAAAATGGGACCGCCATGGGAAAAATTTGGACTAGTCATTACAATCGGTTTATAAAGAAAGAAGTTATGCCCGAAATTGCATTTAAAATTATAAATATTTGAAGTCGGTCAACAAAGAGAGAAGATTTTAAATCATTGCCCTGATTATGTCATTGGCGAACATATTAACAATTTTACGCCTTGCGTCATGCAAAATGATTGTATAACTTTCGCTTTTATTCTTAGGCAGTAGTAGTTTTGTCATGAGGCTATTAAATAAGATTATTTTTTTTCCATCGCGTGTATTTTTTTGAGTATGCTAACTGAACTCTTAATAATATTTCTGTTACTATCATACACTGTTGTGTTCCAGTTCATTCTGGCTTAGCTTTAGCTCTTAGGTAGAGCCTTTAGTAGGCCTTTAAGGTATCAAGGGAAACAGCTTTTCAATTATCTCTAAAACCCCGCTTCATAAGTGTGTGTCATATACTAAAGGGTCACCTATCGTTTGATTATGGTGGGGTCCATCCTATTGGTTGCTGAGGAAGTCATTTGATTCTAGGTATTAAGAGAGAAGTTCAATATACGCTCCATATTTTTGCAGAGTATGGAGGTAATTGAGATTGGGGGATCATTGGCAGCAGCAGCGTGGTAGTAGCTAGCGTGGATAGCAGCGTTTTTTGGGCACAAGCTGCACATTGGCTAGCTTCTAGGATATGCGCCCTATTAGTCGTAAATGAGAGGTGGAACAAGCGTGTAAAGCTAGGAGAAAAATCAGATTCTGATTGGTACGAGCCCTCTAGTCTAGTAGGTAAATTTGTTTGTTAGTTCTTACATGTGTCAATGGCTGCAGTGGTCACTCAGCATCATCAGGTAGAATATGTGTTAATATTCTTTCACTCTTATGTGTGTGATATGAAGCGTGTGATAAAAGTCAACTAGAATTCGAGAAATCGAAAACAAAATAAAGTCATGTAAGTTTCTACATTAAAATTATTCAAATAATAAATAATTAAGTACAATTGCAGTTTCTTTCATTGAGGACAGTTTTATACAGCTTGTATCGATATCTTAAGCATAAAAACAAATATTCACGGATTCAACTTTACGTTACGTTCATTTGGTACTTTCAACACTGGGATGTCGAATCATATATGAAAAGAGACCGACAATATTAAACAGGTCCTCGTAAAGTAAAATTTATGCTCGGAGCAAGTACATACCGTTTTAAACTACCAAAAAAGCTCATCAGACAGGTCGCACTTTAATTTACCATCTACTTTCAATACAATAATAATTATTTAAAGTAAAAGTAAAGTTGCAACCTATTTACGTCCCACTGCTGGGCGCAGGCCTCCTCTCATTTTTGAGAGGGTTAATTATTTAATAATTATAACATCAGATAAGTATATTTATTTGTACATAATATGATAAGAAGTAAATGAAGCTGTGCGTAAAATTTATAACGTTAAAAGGAATTGCGAATTTAAAAAGAGATGAAACATTTACATCCGTCTCTTGAATTTTTGATAGTCTTGATACCCAATTACAAGAATCAAGCACGGATCAAGTCAAGTACAAATCATCAGTTGCGCGCGCAACGAGTATTCGCGCGCTTGTCTCTATGTAATAGTGATGCGTGCGGTGAAATATGCCATAACGCGCAGTTTTTAATTGAACGTTAACATTTTAATAAAGTGACAACTTGAATAATAATTTAATAATTCCCGCCAAAAAAGCTGCGAACATAATGGACGTCAAATCTTCGGGGGTAGGTATTATTTTATTACATAGAAATGTAGCAGCGAAGCGGTAATAGGTACAAGTCAGTAATATTCTCACTGTTTTCCTTTAGTAAATCTCTGTCTGTTATATAGCCTTCATTTTAATATTTTAATGGTTTATACTTAATCATAGAGCTTTGCGATTTTAGTAACTACCAGGTTCTTTTTTTGATAAAGTATTTATCTATACACTTTTGTGTACTGTGTAGGCTCGGATTTAAAAAAAAATGCCTTACATTATTTTAAGACCTCTTTAAAATTTACTGCTTATTCTTTTTTATTTGTAAGTAAAATGCTTTGCGTGCGATTGACTTCATATTGCTTAGATTTCGTCCAACACCTTTAATAAATAATAAGTTTGTTAAATGTAGTCAGGTTTTGAGTCATAATTAACGTAATTTAAAATAAAAGGAAAATTTAATTTCCTTAAATAAATATATATAATATTTTATTACCACGTTGGCGCCCCTGAGATGATATCTTGGGTATTTGTTTTTTATTTCCTTGTCCGAATTTATAACTGTACTCAAGAAAGATTTTTTTTGGTAACTATGTAAATAGAAATAATTTACATTTTTCTTCTTACATTATTTAATAGTGCCTACTCACATTATATTGTACCCGCTTACATTATTTAAGACTGAAACTCTTCGTAGGATACATTTGGCATGAAGCTTGCCAAAAAATTTCCAATTCATTTTTGATCTCCGAATATGTAGTTACACAATCAAATAAATTAGCATACCTACTTTTTAATGAAAAACTAGAGTATTTTTAGTCCACATTCTTAGGCTTCTATGCATAATAGCACACTGACTATACTGGATAAGCAGAAACGATACATTCGCACTAATAAATAGTCTAATAAACGTTTAATTAGTAACTAGTAACCTAAAAAGGTTATTTTAACTAACTTTATGTAAAGTTAACTAGTAACCTAAAAACTAGTTTTGATTTTGGGTTTAAAGTAAAAGCAAAATTGAATTGCTTAAAATAATATATAATATTTTATTACCATGTTGGTGCCCCTGAGATGACATTTAATATTATTTAATGCTGACTTGCTATAAAATAAAAGGAAAATATACCTAATTGCTTAAAATAATATATAATATTAAATTACCATGTTGGTGCCCCTGAGATGACATTTAATATTATTTAATGTTGACGTCCTATACAATTAAAAAGAAAATATAGGTAATTGCTTAAAATAATATATAATATTTTTATAACATGTTGGCACCCCTCAAATGACATTTTAATATTATTTAATGTTGCTCTTCTACACCAGTTGGGTTTAAGCGTTTTGAAAAATTATGACCGCCATCAATTATCACCAGTGCCCCGTTCTCCAAACTGAAGTGCAAAGGAAGAGCTAAAACTAAACCTGGAAATAATTGAAAAATTGTTCTTACTGCATCTTTCATTTACAATTATATTGACCATTGTAGTTGAAATGTGGAAATTTTAAAGATATACCTCAAGAATTATATATTTTTCCGGACCGATACGACTTAGGGACCTTCAAGAAAAGAGCCTACTCCTTTTTAAAAGAACGGCAACGCATCTGCAATTCCCCTGGTTCCCCTGATGATGCAGTTGTTCATGGGCGGCGGTAGTCACTTACCATCAGGTGAGCCGCATGTTCGTTTGCCCCCTCTCCTATAAAAAAAAGTCATATTTTCAGTACGTATCTATTTTAATTGAAGCATTTCAACAATACCAATGCTTAAAATTGATTAAATTTCTGTCTTTATACACAGATTACACTTAAAATACTAACAAGGCTGAACTGAGTATTTGGTGGTTGGTATACCTACCGTGCATATCTTTATTCCTTTATTTAAAAATATCTTAAAAGCCGTATAATACGTACTTGTCTGCTGGCGTATAGCTACCGTCTCTTCTCCGGTAAAATCTATCGTGGGAAATTTTACCAAATTGTACTACATTATTAAAATGTACAACGTCAATATGATAGAGTGGTGAGGAATGAATTGTGGTCAGCACTGTCCGTGAAATGTGTGAGCAGTATCCTCGTACGAGCATTGCAATCTCTTTATAGGGATTCTAGTGCTTGTGTAAGGATAAACGGGGCATACACTGAATGGTTTAATATCGAAAAAGGTGTTAGACAGGGATGTGTAGCGTCACCGTGGCTGTTTAATCTGTTCATGGACAATTGCTTGACAGATTTAAAAGAGAATGAATGTGGGTTGAGAATGAATGAGTTACTCGTCAAATGTTTTCTCTATGCCGATGACCAAGTATTACTTGCATCTTCCGCCGAGGAGTTGCAGGAGATGGTAACTACTATTAGTGGAGCTTTTGTTAGGAAGGGAATGAAGATGAATGTAAGGAAGGCGAAAGTGATGGTGTTTGAAAGAGATGAGGCAGTGACAGACTGCAATATCGTGATTGGAGATGAACAAATTGAACAAGTGAAAGAGTTTGTATATCTGGGTTCAAAGTTTACAAGAGATGGAAAGTGTGAGAGTGATATCGAAAGAAGAGTGAATGCAGGAAACATAGTGAATGGAGCTTTGCACTCCTTGATGAGCAGTCGGAAGGTGTCTAAAAAGGCTCGTTTGGCTGTGCATGAGGGGGTGTTGGTTGTGACACTCATGTACGAAAGTGAAAGTTGGGTATGGCTGAAGAAACATGAAAGCAGAATAAATGCAGTTGAGATGAGAGCGTTAAGAAGTATGATAGGAGTTAAACTGAGTGACAGGTAAAGGTATGCTGAGATGGTTTGGCCATGTCGAGAGAATGAATGAAGAACGATTGACGAAAAAAGTGTATAAGGCGAGTGTGAATATATGTGTGTGTATAAGAAGTGCTGGAAGGGGTAGACCTAGGCGGACATTTCAAGACCAAATCAGGGACGTCTTGAAAAAAGGCCAGGTCAAGAGCACCCTAAACCGTAGACGTAGAGCATGTATGATGAGAATAATGAAAGTGGACGAAGCGAAACAAGTATGTAAGGATCGTAGTAAGTGGAAAAAAGTGGTCTCTGCCTACCCCTACGGGAAAGAGGCATGATTATATGTATGTATGTATGTACAACGTCAAATTGTAGGAATCTAATGTACTCCTTGTGGTCCCCCTGTTCAGAAAAACCATGGGGATCACGAGTAATAAACTAATACCTTAAAAAATGTTTAGCAGCTTTGAAACCATTCTATTTCCCACTGGGGCACTAGTACGTTAGTACTATTATTTATTGTGTGGCATGAGTCAATTCCGCCTTGTAATAGACGTGCGTTCCGTTAGAAACTCCAAGCCAATAAGACAGGAACGAATTTAGGTCATTGTGTTCCATTGTAGTTGCAGTGTTAAGGATAGCTCGTTTGTTAAAAACTTAATAATATTATTTAAAATAAAAATAAATGAGACAATAAAAATATCTCATCGTGTAATGTTTTTGGTTCATTACTAAAACTTGTACAATGCGGGTGCGTAACCTTTCGCAATAGGAGAGTTTTTGCATACTTGTACCTAATTTTGGTATTCTAAACATTAAATTAGTTCGATTAAGAGCGTAGACGGGCTGCATTTTTTCCATACAGATGTATTCCCCTATTCTCTACCTGGATAATGCCTGTAGAGTAATCGTTTTTGTTTATAAAAATCTAGGTCTATTGAAGGCATGCCCCTGTCATTCATTTGTCCAATAAATTATTACAAAAATAAATATGACTTTCCAAAAACCTAAAAAAATGCCCCGTTTTTACCTCCGTAATCAGACGACTACCAAAGAAATTTGAAAAGTTTTTAACATAAAAACAAGTAATAGGAGCATAGATCTATTCTTCCTTTAAATTTTGATACCAAAAATAATTTAATCGGCTTAGTTTTCGAGGAGGAAACAGGGGAATACGAAACGTAGATCTGTCTTGGTTTTTGTAGGTAAAATCGTTCTGATCTGCAGTTGTCCCTATCGCACTCTATGGGTGGAGACCATATATAGCGCGACGGCAATAGTTTATTCAAATACCTATTTCACAATTCCCGCGCAGACCGACTACGCTCTTAACCTGTTTCGTAAATTTTAAATAGTGCACTAACTTTACATTAAAATGGTATGTCATTGTTATGGTATGTATTTATTAGACACTACGCGATATCAAATTATTTAGATCTTTGCTGTATTTTATAAAATGTGTAATTCCTTCGCCCACCTTCGGTAATTGCGCTATTGCGATTATATCAATTTCGGATTTTGTTACGTGGAGGAACATTGAAGGGGAATAGCCCTAAGCATCCCACAAAGGAACATTGAATTTTCTTAATTGACAAATATTGAAAAACCGGGTATTTTTTTTTCTTCACATTAATAGTAGAGAAGGAAACAAGTGTCAGGGGTGCGAAATGCTCAATGGTGCGATCCGCAATTGCAAGCCATATCTGCCAAGCTGGAGGTTCCGCCACGTTCTCATTACTAGGATGTAGGTTCATGCCCAGAAGTAGACATGAAACAGTTTTCTGTGTTTTGTGCAAAATCGAGATCGCTTTTTTTTAATAAATTTCTTATATATATATATATATATATAAATATATCAAATTTAAAATAATCTAACCTATCTATCTATCAACGTAAAATAAACTACAATACCATCCCGTGTGATGTCGTAAATGAGTCTTTATAAATGTGTATTTATAACCCGGTTTTTCAATCACGTGCCACATTTTAAATTGTTATTTTTATTGAAAATAATACTAGAAACAATTTCATTTATTTTTTATAAGTTATACAATGTCAATGCATATTAATTAGTTGCGTTACAAACTCATGGCAATATATTACTCTTTAGTTTTTCGACTTCAAGCTTTAACCAACTTATTTTAATAAATAAAGAAACATTGTAATACAATTAATAAAAAAAAGTTTACATAATATTTATGTATTATTTGTTGTGTATTATTTAGGCTTTTGTCCACGTGGACCACGTAATCCTACGTTTTAATACTACTACTAAAATACTGC